CCCCGGGGGCGGGCCTGCCGCTCGCGGGCCTGGGATAACAGAGCTTGCAATGTTGTTTTCTCCTCGCCTCCTCGGGGATTGGTTTATCTCTATGAATAACTCCATCCCGGCTTTGATCTCCTCTGCCATTAAAGCGTGACAGGCTGTGAAATGTGCTGTTGCTGCCGTCAAATCCCCCTCCCGCTTCTCCCCCCCGCCGCCTCCGTGCTCCCCCGCTCTGGGGAACCTCCTTTCCCAGGCCCGTGAGGAGCTGGAAGCAGCGAGCAGGGCCAAAATGCCTCAGGACAGCGCCCGAACGCGGGGCTGGAGCTGGGGACAAGCGGGCTCCTGCCACCATCCCGCATCCCTCGTTGCAGCGGGATGCAGGGCATCGAGCATCCCCGGTCCCAGCGGTGGGTCGGGGCACGGCGGCCTCATCCCAGCACGCGCCGCCACGGGGGTTGATGTCACACCTAATTATAGCATCCCCCGTCCCTCTCCCCCGCCAAAGCTTTACCTGAAAAAGGGTAAAAATAACTCCCGGTGAGGGAGGAGCTGGAACGAGCCCAAGGACTCCTCCAAAGCGTCTCCAAAACTTGCACAAACCAGGACGGCAACCTCCTTGCCTGCAACGCGGGGACACGGCCACCGTTTGTCCCCAGTCGTGGGGCCAGGATGCGTTCCCCAAAGCACCGGTGCCGCCGTGCTCCTGACTGTGACCGTCCCCGGTCACCTTCACCGTGGCTCAAGTGTCAGCTCCGGGACAGGCGGTGGTAACCGGAGCCAGGGCAGCACTCGTCCTCACTGTCCCAGCGCGCTCCGCAGGCTGGGTAAGCTGCACAGGGCAGATTTAATGGCTCTGGCCAATGATGGAGCGTTTTCATTACAGCATCTCCCACTCCCTGCTGCAGTCGCTCCCGAGAAGACACATTAAAACCTCCTCACGCTGTGGGAGCGGAGCAGCCCCTTGCTCACACCATCAGGGACCACTGCCAGGGCAGAGCAAACCCCTTCAGCCTTCTCTTCCTTTTTCCTGCTTCTGCTCTCCCTCCTGCAGACGTTGCACAGAAACTCCCTGTCTCAGAGCTGGGGAATCACCAGAAATCCCACCCCGACCTCAGCCCAGCTCGTATCTGCTCACTCCCTGCCACCAGCATCCTCCAGCACCACTGATGTGCAATCAGCCCAGCCAGCCCAACACATCCAGGTGAAGCCCTTCTGCCTTTATAACCCAGCCCTGCCCACATCGCAGCTGCAGCTCATCTCCAGCAAAGGCGAAGGGCCGAGATGTGACCTGGTCCCCACAGCCTGGTGGCTCCCGGCCACACAATGCACCCCCCTGGTCCCATTTCCCGGGCTGAGTTTCCAGCTCAGACTCTCTGGGTTGTTTCCAAAAGGCGCGACCTTGCTCTCGGCTTTATGAAATTTCATCCCATGGCTCTGGCGCTCGTCCCCAAGGTCGCCCGCCCTCTCGCCCAGGTGCTGACAGCATCCCCAGCTTTGTGACAGCGACCAGCGTCTCTCTTACACATGGGCCCTATGGGGAATATTGAGCTTGGGGACCTCCAGGATAGCCCCTCGAGGGACAACCCACTGTCACATCACCCGTCATCATTTTGGCTGGGATCCCCAGTGCCTGCCTGGCCCATTGCACCGCCGCTGCCAGCTCGGAAGCGTGGATAACTTTGCACTGGCATCAAACCAGTTTCCCAGTTGCATTTGTGTATCCAGTTTGGTGGTGTCTGTGTCCACAAGTGGGGATGTGCTCAGGGACCCCCCGCCAATGTGGGGCAGGGGGCTGGGGCGTCCTTATCGCACTCAGGCACCGGCCAAAAGCTCCCGTCCAGCTCTTGTGCGTCAAAGCGCTGCTGTATTTAGAAGCTCCCCTTCCCCTTGGGCCGGCGCTGGAGGCTGCGGTGCCGGGATGGGGCTGGAGATTGCTCTGTGGTCGCATCGGATGCTTTTATGAAGTGCTGAGTGCAGGAAAAAAGCAAACCGCAAGAAGGGGCTGTGCTGCTGCAGGGCTGCAGGGAGGAGACGCCTGTGCTCTCAGCAGCCGGCCCGGCTGTCAGCTCCATTCCACCAAAAATCCTGCCAAAAACAGCCCTGGCTTGGAGGAGGAAGGACCTCGCACCGCTCAGGACATCACCTTCACCGGCTGTGTCCATGCACAGGGAGACGAGCCCATGATGAGAACCATGAGAGCTTTGGGGACATCACAGCATCTCCCGCCGTCGCTGGCACCACCCGGGCAGGTGCCACAGCAGGACAGTGTCATTTTGGGAAAACCTCTGGCCGCAGCGGCCCCAGTGGAAAGCCTGGTGGACCTCGCACCGCTCAGGACATCACCTTCACCGGCTGTGTCCATGCACAGGGAGACGAGCCCATGATGAGAACCATGAGAGCTTTGGGGACATCACAGCATCTCCCGCCGTCGCTGGCACCACCCGGGCAGGTGCCACAGCAGGACAGTGTCATTTTGGGAAAACCTCTGGCCGCAGCGGCCCCAGTGGAAAGCCTGGTGAGCCCAGCATATGGCAGCTCCGGAAACAGCCCG